TTCTTGTGCCCCCGTCCCACTATTCACATAAAGTGCAGTGGCAAGTAGTGGAAGGGGATGACAAGCAATGCAGCACACATATGGAAACGAATTCATCACCAGCTGTTGAGACTGCAGTTCAATGGCGACCTCATCTTCTAATCAATGACGCCACCCTAATAAGAGCAGCTTTCAGATGCAATGGGTCCCATTTTCTACTTTGCTTTTAAATTAGTGATTTCAAATATGATTATTTGGGTGAATGCTCGTTCTGTGTCTGTGTGTGAGCATTTCTGTGCTAGCTCTACAATGTTTAAAAGGTAAAATAGAGTGAGGAACGTAAAAGTAGGTGAGGGAAAAAGGTCAGCAAAGGCAGCGAGTAAAAAACAAGATGTTGCCAATCCTAACGCAGTTTAAATGGAAGGTGTTCACGTGACACGAGAATCCCATGCTCTGCTAAGGCAATCATTGGGACAAGACCATGTTGGAGGTGTCTTCACCAGGACGCATCGCATGGGAAGAAAGAGAGGCGACACTTCCATGAGGGTGCGTCAATCACAGAGAGGAGGTACGCTGATCAGTGTCAATTTGGCATGGCGTTGCAAACCTGCTGTCACACACGAGGCAGGCCTGAATGTCTTCAAGATTTATGGAAGTGGGTGGTATGGACCTTCACTCTCGACAGCTTGACAGTTACTTGACGTGACTATGACAGCATTTGCCTTTGCAAAGGTAATGTTCCGCCCGTTTTAAATTGTTAAATATTATTATGATAAGGCACAACGAAATCTGCGTAACATAGATGAAAGAAATGTATTAACATGATATCAGGCAAGCGGCCAATGACTGGAAGCCGCTTTATTACAAGTCAAGGGATACGGTGACAGTGGGTCCTTGCCACAATTGCGCCGTCTTTATTGTCACGCAATTTGACAACAGTGGATATGAAGTAATGATTAAATTGCGGAGATGCTATTGGTATAAAAAGGGATATGTGTGTCGAGAGGCATTAGCCTAAGGATTTGATTGGATTGGCACTGCAACTGGCATCGTCATTATCCTCCGGTAGAGCAAAGCCAATGGATGCATCGGCAGTAAGAGTGCTTGATGGACTCCTTTGCATCACAGCCGAAATGCTCGCTTCACCACCGGTATCTGGCAAACAAACTGCATGCACTGCATTGGGAGTTGTTCTGCCTGTATTCCATCAGATGACAACCGTCTCCCTTAACGCATTGCATGGTCTTACTCCACCCCTCTCTCGCACCATAAGCGACGATTTTTCACGCAATCTACTTGCATAGAAATGACAGTGAACTGCCCCTCGACGATGATGAGACAGGTTACCTCGAGGATGCATGAAGTAGACTTTTTAATCCCCTGAGTAATTGCCGTGTTAGTCCTGTTTAAATAACAACAGAACATTTTCAATGAATAATGACTCAACACCTCACTTCGTTTAAAGCATGTTCGTAAAGCGACCTTAGGCTAAATGAACCAGCACTAATGGAGCGAAATCATTTCAGTTATGCAACAGATAGCGTTCAAATTTAGGCAGTAAATACCAGTGAAAGTAAAGACCGAATTTGCTCACTTGTCTTTGTTTCGAGATCAAGGTCTCCAGTAGAGGTGGAAGCTGATTCATCAGGTAAGGCCGCAATTGCAAGGCTAGTGGAATCATTCGCCACCCAGACCAGCAATAGTGGGAGTGGA